TCTCCCCGTCTAACTCGGAGCAAGCTGTTAGATCTGCACCACCTTCCTTGCCTTCTGGTTTCTCAAGACGCTTCTCGAGTCAAGGCCTAACTTTCAACAGTTTATAATTAATGTGGCTTTAGCAAAGCCTTAAGAATCATTTCTTGAATTCCTGAAACATAAGTGACTCAGGTTGTTTCACCTCGGGAGATTAGTAAGTGGCCCCTTAGCAAGAATTATTTTTACTGCACTATTGGGACATGTTGACAATGACAGGACTCTCATGAATATGATTTTCACATTGGTCAATGAGTTTCACGTTGAGGAAAAAATGGTTCTTTAGGCAAAGCTGCAGTCTAATTTTGATCAGGTACCTAATAAGCATGTGAATTCATTCATCTATTCATATAGCAAACATACCGAGAGTCCACTGTTCTGTGTGCTGGGCACACAGTGGTGAAGAGAATGGGCGAGAACCCGTGGGGCTTACTGAAGTGCGGTGCAGCTGATTACAAGGCCATGGGAGTGAACCAGGAGATCCAGACAGGGTCTGCCACCCCCACCACCCCAACCGGGGAGGTTTGGCCAGGTGCCTCTTTTCTTTTAGTTATTATGTTAAGATGCAGGAGTGAGGAATAGTCAGGATTCCAAGTCTTCCCCACCTCACATTCTTGCAGTTGTGAATGCAGATGTTTGGTGTTCTGTGCATTCAGTGTCTCTGTGTTGAAAAATATAATTCAATACAGAATCTAATATGCGTTACGTCTATCTATAATGGAAAATTTATGTCAAGGGAAAGTAATGTGGTGTGCTAGGAATCAAATAACCATTTCTTCTCTTTCCTTTTTAACTCTGTGTGACCTGTGCAATACAATGTGACTCATCAAAATGTACTAATGGTCAGAATTCTATTGGCATGAAAGTGTGGACACCTTTCATTGTCCTCAGCAAACTTCTCATATGAAAAGAAACACACACACATACACACAGACACAACTGGACCCATATACAGACACATACACAAACATGCGTGTAAACCTATCAGGGAAAATTATATAACAATGTGCTCTAGACACATACATGTTTATGGTCAGAAAAGGTGGTATTTGAACTACATTTTTAAGAAGTCATATTTTCACAAAGGAAGAAGTGAGTAACAAGTGAGTAAACACATTGCAAATGGAGGCCTCCTCATGAGCAAGGCACAGAGAATGTGTGTATGTGGCAGGGGAGGGGGGGAGGGGGAGATCAGTATTTGAGAGTGATTT